ACCTGGGACTTCCCAATTGTATAGGATATATATCATAAAAAAATAGTTAGATAATGTAGATAAAAAATATAATATTAATTAGTTTGTTAGGAATATGATTATATGAAAATTAAGATAAAATAAAATTTACCAAAAAAATCTGCTTGTGACCTTTTTCTTTAAATGTTTGAATTTAAAAATCTAATAACCAAATTTAGATTATATCAACTAAGGAAAAAAAATAATAAACATTATCAAAAAGATAAATCAATAATATTTATAACTTAGATAACAAATAATAAATATTGACACGTAAAAATAAATAAATAATAACATATTTAAAAATATAACTTAGAATTTCAAATAAAAATAAAAGGAGAGATAACTTATTTTTTTCTTTAAAAAAGTTTCTAAATGTTTAATATAATGGTAAGTATTTCCGTAAAAATAATTATACCATTTTAATTTCAAAAAAATTGGCAAGTTTGTTAGAGAGATAAATCCGGTTAGATAAATGATGAATTAGTTAAGATATTATATTAATTATATAAAAAAATGGGTTAGATAATGTAGATAATAAATATAATATTAGTTAGTTTGTTAGAAATATGATTATATGTAAACCAAGATAAAATGAAATTTACCAAAAAAAATCTGTTTAGGATCTTTTTCTTTAAATGTTTGAATTTAAAATTTTAATAATGAAATTAGATTATATCATATAAGGAAAAAATAAATAATTAATGTTTATTAATATATTAAAAAATGTAATTCTGAGTTTCATATAAAGTAAAAAGTACGATAATTCAAATTTATTTTTAAAATTTTTATAAAATATTAATATTTTAGTAATTATATCTATAACAACAATCGTATAATTAATTAAATAAAATATTATAATAATTATATCTTAAAATACCCGATTAGATAATTATATCTTAAAATACCCTATTAGATAACTTGAAAAAAGAATATTATATTAATTAGTTGTTAGAAATGTGTTTATATGAATGAAAGTTAAGATAAAATGGAATGTACCCAAAAAATCTGCTTGCAATCTTTCCTTTAAATGTTTTAAATTATTTTTTTTCAAATAAATACAAAAAAAATGAATAAAAATCATGGGCGGGATTCTCCTAAAAATTGCAAAAAAAAAATTCTTTATTGGTAAAAAAGGAAAAAACTCCGCCTATGTTGTCTCAACATAGCAGGTCCCAAGCCCTGGTAAAGGAGGAGGATTGTGATAGGCTTGGCGAGCCAGCCGTTCTATGGAGATGAAACACATGAGAAATTCGTTGGGGCGTAACCCTCTTAGCGACGCGCCATATCGGAACCCGGGTATGGTGTCAAATGGGCAAGGGCCGGGTCGTCTCCCCTTGGGGACGCGCCATGTCGTGGTTTGGGCATGGTGTTAAGTGAGCAAGGACCGGGTCGTCATTTCCTTAGTGGCGCGCTAAATCGGCACCCGGGTGTAGTGGAAAATGAGCAAGGGTCTTCGCATCTCTCTCGACGGGTGCGAAGGGCAAGGGTGCTAGTCGAACCAACTAGGGTAGTGGAAAATGAGCAAGGGTCTTCGCATCTCTCTCGACGGGTGCGAAGGGCAAGGAAGCTAGTCGAACCAACTAGGGTCTGTATAGGTAGCTAGAACGTAGGTTCCCTAACGGGTAAACTACGTGAGCTAGTCGATGCAGCTACTAGGAAGCGTGTAAATATCCTATGCGTCCAGGAGACAAAATGGAAGGGACAGAAGGCGAAGGAGGTGGAGGATACTGGCTTCAAGCTTTGGTTCACTGGGGCTTCATCGAGTAGGAATGGTGTAGGCATCTTGATCGATAGGAGCCTTAAGGATGGAGTTGTTGATGTTAGAAGGCAAGGCGACCGGATTATCCTAGTCCGATTGGTAGTTGGAGATTTGACCATGAATGTGATCAGTGCCTATGCCCCTCAGGTAGGTCTTAGTGAGAGCGCAAAGAGGCAATTCTGGGAGGACCTGGATGCCTTGGTTAGTACGGTGCCTGCCAGCGAGAAGCTCTTTGTAGGAGGGGACCTAAACGGCCATGTGGATGCGACTAAGGTAGGTTTCGAGAGAGTGCACGGAGGGTTTGGGTATGGTAGTAGGGACGAAGAGGGGGATGGTTTGTTGGACTTTGCGATGGCCTGCGACTTGTTGATAGCGAACACCCTCTTTAGGAAGAGGGAATCTCACCTGGTGACCTTTCATAGTGGACGACACTCAAGTCAGATCGACTTTATCCTTGCAAGGAGGGAGGATATAAGCGCTTGCGTCGATTGTAAGGTGATACCTGGGGAGTGTGTTGTCCCCCAGCATAAGCTGGTGGTGGCGGATTTCCGACTCCGAACACGTGTCCACCGGAAAAAATGTGCCAAGACCGTGAGAACGAAGTGGTGGAAGCTTAAAGGGGAAGCGGCACAGACGTTTAGGGATAGCATGCTAGGTAAGGGGCCTTGGGAACAAGGAGAAGATGCAGAGGAAATGTGGCAACATGTGTACGGAAGGTGGCTGCAGAAGTCCTTGGTGTGAGTAGGGGAGGCAAGCAGGAAGCGAAGGACTCTTGGTGGTGGAATGACGAGGTGCAAAGGGCTATTCAAGAGAAGAATGAGTGTTTCAAGCGCCTCCATCTTGACAAGAGTGCAACCAACATTGAGAGCTATAAAATAGCGAGAAGGGATGCAAAGCGTGCCGTGAGTGTAGCGAAGGGTCAGACATATGATGACCTTTATCAGCGCCTAGGCACGAAGGAGGGGGAGAAGGACATTTATAGGATGGCTAAGATTTTGGAGAGGAAGACAAGGGACATCGACCAAATCAAATGCATTAAGGATGGGTCGGATCGGCCACTGGTGAAGGATGGGGAGATCAAGGACAGATGGCGAGAGTACTTCAACAAATTGTTTAATGGGGAGAGTGAGGGCCCTACCCTGGAGTTGGATGACTCATTTGAGGATACCAATAGACGCGTGGTGATAAGAATTCGAGAGGCAGATATCGGAGAGGCTATGAAGAGGATGAAGGGAGGTAAAGCAATGGGCCCTGATGGTATCCCCATTGAGGTGTGGAGATGCTTGGGCGCCAGAGCGTTAGCATGGCTAACTAAACTTTTTAACCTCATTTTCCGGTCAAACAAGATGTCTGATGAATGGAGGAGAAGTACTTTAGTACCGATCTTCAAGAATAAGGGAGATGTTCAAAGCTGTGGTAACTACCGTAGGATTAAGTTGATGAGCCATACGATGAAGCTCTGGGAGAGGATTATAGAGCATCGCCTACGACGAGTGACGAGTGTGACCCAAAATCAATTTGGGTTCATGCTTGGAAGGTCGACCATGGAGGCGATTTTCCTAATACGTCAGTTGACGGAGAGATATAGGGACCAAAAGAAGGACTTGCACATGGTCTTTATCGACCTTGAGAAGGCTTATGACAGAGTACCGAGAAATGTCATGTGGTGGGCCTTAGAAAAGCACAAAGTCCCATCTAAGTACATTACCCTCATCAAGGATATGTACAAGGATGCGATGACGTGTGTCCGAACATGTGGGGGCGACACCAGCGACTTCCCAATTAAAATAGGACTACACCAGGGGTCAGCATTGAGCCCTTATCTATTTACCTTGGTGATGGATGAGGTCACAAGGGACATACAAGGTGATATCCCTTGGTGTATGCTCTTTGCTGATGATTTGGTGCTAGTTGACGAGAGTAGAGCAGGGGTAAATAGGAAGTTGGAGCTGTGGAAGGACGCGTTAGAGTCGAAAGGCTTCAGACTTAGTAGGATGAAGACCGAGTACATGACGTGCGCTTTCAGCATGGCTTCACATGATGATGGTGACGTTACCCTTGACGGGCAAGTGATGGCCAAGAAGGAGACTTTCCGGTATTTGGGATCGATGCTACAAAAGGATGGCTGCATTGATGCTGATGTTAGGCATAGAATTGCAGCCGATTGGTTGAAATGGTGTCAGACGTCGCGCATTCTCTGTGATAAGAGGGTGCCACAAAGGCTAAAAGGTAAGTTCTATAGGACGGCGATTCGCCCGGCGATTCTATACGGTGCTGAATGTTGGCCTACAAAAAGTCAACATGTCCAACAACTAAGTGTAGCAGAGATGCGTATGTTGCGTTGGTTCTGCGGGCACACAAGAAGGGATAGAATCCGGAATGAGGATATTCGAGATAGGGTCGGGGTGGCTTCAATTGAGGAGAAATTGGTTCAACATCGGCTGAGGTGGTTCGGACATGTCCAACGGAGGCCTCCTGATGCACCGGTGCGTAGGAGAGTTCTTCAGCGGGTCGAGGATGTTAAGAGAGGTAGAGGTCGGCCTAAACTCACTTGGGAAGAGTCGGTTAAGAGAGACCTTAAAGATTGGAATATCTCCAAGGATTTAGCGGTAGATAAGAGCGCTTGGAGGCTCGCTATCAACGTGCCAGAACCGTGACTTTTGCTCCTTTCTCTCTCTCTCTCTCGTTTTTTTTTTCGATCTCTTCCTTTAGGTTCGAGTCTTTTTGTGTTTCTCTTGAGTTTCATCTCTAGCCTACCCCGACTTGCTTGGGACTAAAGACTATGTTGTTGTTGTTGTTGTTGTTGTTGTTCTCTCGGTTATATTAATAGATAGATTTTGAAAAATAAGAAGCTTGTAGTAAACACAAAGGAGCATAGGAAGGCGAAATTTGTGGTGGTTCTGAGTCAGCACACAGTAATAAATATACGTTATGGGTTTTTGACTTTTGATCGTCAAGTCACTAGTCAATCAATCTTTAATTAGTTAATCACCACGAACAAACAAACAGCGTAGTTTTCCTTGACGGCGTCATTTTCGTGGACACGTAAGCACCCGCGCAAGCATTTCGTCCTTCCATTTCTCCTCATTATAAACAAACGCGTTTTCCCCTCTCCTTACCTCCACACATCTACAAAAACTCTCAATCAATTCAATTGTTCTCTCATCCTCAATCCAGATTAAACTATTCAAATCAAAATTCGATCTCCTTTATTTATTATATGGGTGTTTGTTTCTCCTCTCGATCGGGCGATCGCAGCTGCCATCAGAAGCCCTCCTCCAACGTGGTCTCTGCCGACGGCGTACTCCGCCAATATTCCCTTCCGGCCACCGCCGCCGACGTCCTCGCCTCCCAAGCCCTATCCTCCGAGTCCTTCTTCCTCTGCAACTCCGACCGCTTGTATTTCGGCGATTTCATCCCCTCTCTCAACGCCGGCGACCAGCTCGAGCCGGCTCAGATCTACTTCGTCCTCCCGGCGGAGAAGCTTCAGTACCGGCTCTCCGCCGCCGACATGGCGGCTCTCGCCGTGAAGGCCAGCGTGGCGCTCGACCAGATCAACGCCTCAAATCGCCGCCGGAAGAGGAAAACTCGGATCTCCCCCATCACGGCGGGGGTTGCCGGAGGAGGCTTTCAGGACCGGCAATCCAATCAGACTGTGAACCAGAACAGCCCGATGATGGCGGTCAATTATAACAAAAGTAATGCCGGAAAATCTGGGATGGGTGTTACGAGATCTGGATCCGTGAGGAAATTGACCAGATACTCTTCCCGGCGAGCTAAATTAGCCGTGCGATCTTTCAGAAATAAGCTTACCACGATATACGAAGGATTATGAGGTTTTAGCCACGTTTACATTTTGTTTTGTTTCTTTTATATGAGAGATTGCAGCATGTGATGATTAGTACACCTCTGTAAATTATCAGTATGATTCTGAGAAATAATTAGTTATTCGTGGATTGCATAAATCGTGCTCTGATTCATATTCTGTGGTGTCCTCAACAACCTTTAGGGATATTTCATATTTGTGTCAGACCTGACTATTACGATAACATATTCATATTACAAATATATTTATATTTCCATTATAACATGTTACTATAGTTTAATAAATAATATAAATAAAAATATGACTTTATACATTTTTTGTGTTAGAATATGTCCATCTAGTTATCATATACAAGTCCGTGATAATATATTAGACCTCATTTGATAGGGGAGCTAAGATTACATTTTAATTGTCTTGACTCTTGAGTGGGCAGATATTTTTTTTTTTTTTTTTTCNGCGTTAAAACAACAAAGAAAGAACACAAAGTTTGTACAGAACAATAGTCCTAGCAGATAATCTGCCGCTGCCAACACAAATACCAAATAAACACAGTTAAGACACAAAGGGAAGAGCCAAACAGGTTGGTCTAGGAGGGAATGAGGGACTAATGGTGATTCCATGGGGCAGTATAGAATATTGAAGCCCTGGGAGATGCCATCAGGCAAACAAATACCAGCCTAGCAACTGTGATTACCACCTAGCTAGCAGGACACATAAGAAAAAGACAGAAAGTATACAATATTAGAAAATTCTAGCCATTCTGAAGATGCTGCTTGAGCAATTGCAATTTCTGGTTGCCATTGATTTTTGAAGACCCACAAATTCCTGAATTTCCATAACCACCATAGAATATAGGTGGTTAGTTGAATCCTGTCAATGGCTGCCTTGTGATCATGCATGAGACACACTTCTGTCCTCCAGTATTTGAAGCAGATAACATCCTGTTCTAAGTTAGACCACTGCACAGGTGCATGCTGCCGTGTCTTTTTGGCTCTTGGACAGTTAAGAAGTATGTGTTCTGTGGTCTCCTCTTGCTCTTCACATGCTTTGCAGGTGTTGTCAATCTTAAGCCCTCTTTTACAAAGATTTCTCTGAGATGGAAGAATCCCTGAGAAGCACTTCCAAATGAAGTGCTTGATTTTCTTCTTGATTTTTAACTTCCAGTTGATGCTCCACGCCTTTGTGAACCAAGATGCTTGGTTACTTGATTCAGGGAGGTCAAGCTTTAAGAACTTGTTTTTCAGAAGGGCCTCATAGGATGATGCAACAGAGAAGTGTCCTTTCTTGTTAAAGCTCCAGCCTGGTTTGTCCTTTTGGGTTCTGTCAATGGAAGAAATTTGCATGATTGTCTTATGAGGGAGTGCTGGTAGCATTATTCCTGTTGTGTTTGAAAGAAGGGAGTGCTGGTATCCATGGATGGTCCCATATCTTTGTATCCTTGCCATTTTTTATAATTATAAGAAGTCCCTATTCCAGTAGAGGTCTTACCCTCATCCAACTCCTCCAGAGCTATGAGCAGCTTTGAGGAGGTCTGGTTTCAAGAAGAGAACTGTTAGAAAAGTACCTCTGCTTAAGAAATTTACTCACAAGCAAGTTTGGTTTGGTGAAGATTCTCCATAGTTGCTTGATAATCAAAGATTTGTTGAACAATTTCAGGTCTGTGAATCCCAGTCCACATTGGTCTGTAGACATTGTCAGGTGGTTTCACTGCTTCCAGTGCATACCATCTTCTTGGTTTCCACCTTTAGACTACCAGAACTTGGATATTATCTTGGAAATTTCAGAGCATATACCAGAGGGTAGGATGAAGCAGGACATCACAAAGTTGGGCAGTGCACACAGGACTGATTTGATAAGTACTTCTTTACCTGCAGAGGATAGAAACTTGCATTTCCAATTTGAGATTCTGTTTTTGACCACTTCAATTAAAAAGTTGACGGTTTCTTTTTTAGACCGGCCAATACCAAGGGGAAGACCAAGGTATCTAGTTGATGATGTAATTTGGATGCCATTAAATAATCTGCAAATATCCATTTGGGCTGAGGTGGGTGTATTTTTGCTAAAGAATATGGAGGATTTAGAGTGGTTAATTTTTTGGCCTGAGCAGAGCCGGTAATTATACAGGGTGTTAAGGATTTCAAAAGCATTGTGGGGGGTGGCTTGACAAAGGATCATTGTGTCATCAGCGAAGAATAAATGTGATAGAACAATCCCTGAATGAGAGATTTTAAGCCCAGAGAGGGTTCCATTAGAAATTGAGGTGTTCAATAAACAAGAGAGAAGTTCTGAGACAATGATAAACAGGTATGGTGAGATTGGATGACCTTGTCTAAGCCCTCTCGAGGGTGAAACATAACCCCTTTTTTGGCCATATATATTGAAGGAGAAGCTAGAGGACAAGACATGATCCAGTTAATAAATTTCAAATGGAACCCCATTTTAAGCATGATAGATTTGACACAAGGCCATTCAATTCGATCAAAAGCTTTTTCCATATCGAGTTTAATAGCCATAAAGCATTTAGATCATGTTCTATGCCTATTCAAGTAATGGATGGCTTCTTGGGAAATAACCACATCATCTAATAGCTGTCTATCAGGAATAAAAGCCGCTTGATTTTCACTAATGCACATTGAGAGGCAGTTTTTGAGTTTAGAGGCCAGAATTTTTGAAATAATCTTGTAAGAAACACAACACAAGCTAATGGGTCTGAATTGTTCAATTTTAGAAGGATGAAGGGTTTTGGGAATGAGGGTTAGAAGAGTATGGTTCCAAGATTTGGACATTCTTCCAGAATTAAAGAAACTAAAAATGGCTTTACACAGATCCTCTTTTATAATGTGCCAGAATTTTTGGAAAAAGAGAGGAGACATACCGTCGTAGTCCAGTGCTTTGCCAAGATTCATACTGTCCAAAATTCTGTTGATTTCATCTTCATCAATAGTGGCCAGAAGTCTTGAGTTCATTCTCGCAGTGATAACCAGTTGAATGCAGTTTAAAAGAGGATTCTCCTGGTCTGACTGAATGCACTCTGATGTGAACAGCTGGTTGTAGAAGTAAGTAATGCAATTTTGAATATCCTCATTGGTTTCACAGATGAAATTGTCACCTCGAACAAGACAGCTGATAGCATTGGATTTCCTTCTCTGAGTTGTGAAGGCATGGAAAAAACGTGAGTTTTTATCCCCTTCCTTTAGCCATTGAAGCCTGGACTTTTGTTTCCAGAAGGTTTCTTCAGATTTGTGGAGAAGATCGATTTTTTGCTTGAGGGAGTTCCACTTGCACCAATCTCTGTCATTCCCCAGTGACCTCAGCTCCTCCATTTCCCTAATAGCCTCTTTGAGCTCTTTTTAATTCTCGGATTTAAACCCTCTGCTCCATTTTAATAGAGCAACTCTAGTGGAAGCAATCTTCCTTTGGTATTGCAGCATGGGGTGACCGAAGTGTAAGCAGCTTCAGGCCCTCTGAATAGTTTCATTGATGTCCTCTTTGAGAAGCCAACGCTTGTCGAAGAAAAACCATTTTTTCATGGGATGGGGGTTGTTGTTGGTGTGGAGGGCTATAAGGCTATGGTCAGAGAAGCTTTGATAGAAGTTCTTTGCCTGAGCATTTGGGAAATCGGTTATCCAGGCCAGGGAGGCGAAAAAATTGTCAAGCTATTCTTCTACACAGTCGTTGTTCATTCTGCAGTTCCACCATGTGCAAGGGTGGCCGGTCATGGGTATCTCCTGCATGCTCATGTTGGCTATGAATTCTTTGAATCCCCAAAAGCTTGCGTTTGATCTAAGCCTGCCACCTTGCTTCTCATCATTGCTGCAAATGTCCTTCCAATCACCGCCTATCAACCATTTATCACTCCATTTGCTCTTAGCCCTTTTCAGGTATTTTCTTTGGGCCTCTCTTTCTCGAATTTCTATGCTTAAGTAAACAAAATCATCCAGCTTGTGCAATGGTCCGAGACATGGCTAAATTCAACTTTAATACAGAATTTATTGGTGATAGATTGGTGAATAGTGATGTCTTTATCCCATAAGAGAAGAAGACCTCCGCTTTTACCAATTGGATCTACAGTCAGGTTCCTGTCATCATACCCCTATTTTCGACAGACAGTGCGAACAAAAGGACTGGTTTGTCTAGTCTCACTAACACATGCAAACCAGGGAAGGTGGAGTTTCAAAGCCTCCTTTAGCTGGGAAACTGTAGAGGGTCCTCCCAGACCTCTATAGTTCCACACCCAAGCATTCATTTGGGGGTTGGGAGCCACTCTAGGCTGACTGCCTCCACCATATCTTTAATTGCTTTGAGTTCATTTTGTTTTTGCTTTTTCTAGCTATGGATGTTGTTTTCTGGCTGGGATTCTTGAATTTCAGGGTTTTCTGAGAGAAGTCTGCCTGTTTTGTTCTTTTGTGGTCCTCTCTGCTTTTGGGAAGATGTTGAAAGGGAATTGGCTTGCTGAGGAGATTTGATCATTCTCTCCCATTTTTTTTTTTTTTTTGGNTTAATAGGGAGAAGTACAAGGTCCATATTTGTGGCTTTCTGGGGAAATGAGTCAGGTGAGTTTAAGGCTTCCTCTTGATTTGTGAGGAGGAGAGTTGATGGGGGAACTGGTTGCATATCTGCATCTTGATTAGAGAGTAGAAGGGTTTGTGTGATGGCAGGGGTTTCTATGTAGGCTGGGATAGCTGGGACAGTTAAAGGAAGTTGCTTTTGGGTTGAGGGATGGGGGTTTGATGATTCAGGATTTTAGATAGAGTTGCCTTGGAGGGAAGTAAATAGTGACCACTGATAGAAGCTTTTGAAGCACTGCATAATGCAGGGGAGGGCGTATTTGAGTTGTGGGGTGAGGGGGTGGGTGTGTGGGAAGTATTTTCAGTAGGTTCTGGTGATAGGGCCATTTTAGCTCTAAAAATAGGGGTTTCAGAAGTCTTAAGCCATTCCCCGAATTGACCTTCATGAAGAGTACCCTTTTCAATATCTTGAGCTCTGGATTTGCAGGAACGGTTGAGGTG